TACTCAAGCGTCGATAGGTGGAGTAAATATAGGGAGGCCGGGCGCGGCTGAGGATAATTATCCTCCACTACAGCGAATTTTTACTCTTCTAACTGGTTATAGGGGATCGGTTAGAAATGCACTTACTCTATTGTTCATCCTTAGTTTTTGTATGACACAAAACAGATAAAGGGAGGAAGAAGAAAAATAGTGTGCACTGCAGTCTGCTATTCTGTGTGAAAAATGCTAAATGAAGAGTGAAAAATGTTGTGCACTGTAAGTTTTCTGTGGTTTATGTGTTTGTTTGCTAGAAACCAAATGCGGTTATGACTAAGGTTGGAAAAAATTCATATGCTTGTGACTACATATGGCATATCTTGTTCCTCTTTTGTAATGGGCCTGCAACTAGGCTGCGTTTGGCAGCTCAGTATTTTTCAAGTTTTACAAGGATACCATGGTTTTGAGAAAAAACACTGGTTTTAAATACTTTGACGTGTTTGGCATAAATTAATACTTCAGTTTTATAAACCGTAGTATGTCTGATACTATGGTTTTTTTGCGGTATTTGCAAAAGAGGTCTTGACCTCTTTTTTCGTAAACACAGAAACGCTTGCTTGACTTCTTCTACATGTCGTCATTTATCCGCCATTGCTTCGTCTTCCCTGCAGCCATCCTAGGAAGAAAAGTACGTGCTCTTCTACATTGACTACTCTGCCATTCCAACGACCTACCTCCACTTGATGACTCCGTCGCTGATTTATTTAATCCGTTGCCTATTGTTCCATTGCCACAAGTGGCAGCCCGTAGAATGATTAGAGCATCTACAGCCGGGCCTCTAATACCTATCTCAAACGTCCAGACAGGTCATTCGGTCATTGACCGGTCAAAAAAATCGATTCAAGCGGACCTCTCAAACCATGGACAAACGTCCGGATTGACTAGCACCCCTCATATCCAGCTCAAATATATGACGGATATGGGGCGGCCCGGTCATGCCCAGGCACGTCCGCAAGCCCGGCCCACCATCGACCCCACAAAAAACCCCAATCTGGGTGGCGAGCTCAAACCCTAGCTCACTCTGCCCCTCTCTCTCGCTCCATCCACTCCTCTCCCTCTCCCTTCCCGATCCTATCCACCATGATGAGCAGCTCCGGCAGCGACTCCAACTCGGAGCTCGACTACGAGGAGGAGAAGGCCCTCCGCATTGCACTGGAGCGGTCCAAGATGGAGACCAGCGGCAACTCTGGATCTGGAGCATCGCCGCATCTCTCGGCCGGCGCAGCGCGGACGTCGGAGCTGGACCCTCCAGGCCCGCCGCAGCGATACAAGGACAACATAGTCCGCGTCGGCCCCGCGCCATCTCCTTCCCCCGCCAGCCGCTCCTCCACGCGGCCAGCGCTGGGTGCTTGTGCCCGCGCCTCCGGCCCGCATGCGCACTCTGGAGTCGAACTTGTCCGGGGACGAACTATGATCTTTTGGATGGTGGTGAAGTATGTTAATGTCCGTTTGCATCCGATCTTGTGTTCCTCTGCAGCCGATTTTTGTTGTCCGTCATTTGATCACATAGGATAGATCAACGTTTGCATCTCTAGTATGGATATAAGGCGCCGAATATGAGATACACGGATGCAGAGTGGCAAATACGAAGGATGCCCGGTCAGTGCCCGCGGGCGCTTGAGGGTCTGTATTTGCCAACTGCGGCTTTAGATGCTCTTAGAATGGGAAGTTGATCGATTGATCCCGACTTCCCGATACAAGGCATACTAAGCTAGCTAGCCAATTGATCGTGTGAATGGCCCTACACACAGCCCGATTGTAACTCCTTGTCCTTCAGTGCAGCTGCGTTTAGTTCAGCTCGACGATGAATGCATCAATAAAACCAAGAAAAGTGAGGAATACTCTATTTGCCAAACATCTCCATAGTTTTGCTAAAACTGAGAAAAACCGTGATTTCCAAAAACTGAAGTATCCATTGCCCACACATTTGAATACTGAGGTTTTCACTTACTACGGTTTTGGAAAAACTGTGTAGCCAAACTAGGCCTAATATGTTTCCACTAGAAACTTGGGTTTGTAGAGTTTTTCACAGATTGTTGCAGTATGTATTATGGACTCATCGGGCTCAGAAGGAAAAAACTACCCCCGCGTCGTCCGCTGGGCGACTCGGGTGGATCTGATCCAGTTTTCACGGCGGCCCTCTCTCTGCGTCCTCTCCTCGCCGCCGCCGGCCGGCGCCGTCGGGCTTGCCCGCGCGGACTCACGGCGGCGGCGGGGCTCCGTCCTATGGCGTTGTGGCGGTGTTTTGGCGACGTGCGTGCAGCGGCTGGACGCCGTGATGGTGGAGGTAGCAGCGAGGACATGGGATCGTGGTTGGGCCACAGTGCACGTCTTCCCTTCCGTGATGGCGCTG